CTGGTAGATTCAGGTTCAGTAGTTTCTGTGTTACCTCGTTCTTTTATTCGCTCTCCTCGTCGAACCGATGAATTAAAGCTTTATGCTGCCAATCAGACTATAATAAATACATTCGGCAGTGAATATTGCGAACTAGATTTCGGATTGCGGCGAGCATTCAAGTGGTCGTTCATAATAGCCGACGTCAAAACAGCCATAGTAGGAGCGGACTTTCTGACAAAATTCAGCCTCCTCATAGATCTAAAAAACAAGAGACTAATCGACACGACGACCTCTTTAACAACGCCCGGCATGGTATGTGTTACCAACACACACAATATATCGACTCTGGATAAACTAAACAAATTCGCTGATATCTTCCAGGAATTTATTGACGTCACAAAACCTCATCCGAGTCAAGGAAATCGCCAAAAAGCAACTGTGCATCATATAGTTACAACTGCAGCACCGATCTCTCAACGTCCCCGCAGACTATCTGGAGAGAAACTAAGACAAGCCAAACAAGAATTCCAGCTAATGCTCGAACAAGGAATCTGTTGTCCATCCGACAGCCCCTGGACTAGTCCCCTACACGTGGTGCGAAAGAAATCTGGAGGTTGGCGCCCATGTGGCGATTACCGTAAGCTAAATGGTATCACATTACCAGATAAATATCCAATCAAACACGTACAGGATTTCTCAGAATATCTTCATAAAAAAAATATCTTTTCAACCTTAGATCTGGAACGGGCGTACCACCAAGTTCCGGTGGCTCAAGAAGATATTCCAAAGACGGCCTTGACAACGCCATTTGGACTTTTTGAATTTGTTGCCATGCCCTTTGGACTCAAGAATGCATCGCAAACCTTTCAACGATTCATGGACATGATCCTTCGTGGCCTTGATTTCGCATTCTGTTATATCGATGATATACTTATTGCATCAACGGACGAAACAGAACATCGAGAACATCTGCGATTGGTTCTGCAGCGGCTCAAAGAATTTGGACTTTCCATCAACTTCAGTAAGTGTCAAATTGGTCGAACAGAAGTCTTTTTCTTGGGTTATTCTTGGGTATTTCTTGGGTTATAAACAGCCAAGGATACCACCCACCGACCAATTGAGTCGAAGCAATTGCAAACGCCAGTAAACCAGAAACCATTGCTGATCTGCGACGTTTTCTCGGTATTCTCAATTACTATCGACCATGCATCAAGTCAGCAGCTCATATTCAAATTCCTCTAACCGATTTATTAAAGGATTCATGCAAAAACGACAAAAGAAAAGTGCCCTGGAGTCCGGCAGCAGAAGAGGCGTTCACACAATGCAAGAAGAGCATCGCCCAGGCAGTATCACTCTCTCATCCAGCAGAAAATGCACCATTGACGTTAATCACAGACGCATCAGACTCAGCCATTGGCGCAACGTTGCAACAGAAAATCGACACCTGGAAACCGCTTGGATTTTTCTTCAGGAAATTGACTCCCGCGGAGCGTCGGTATTCGGCATACGATCGTGAGTTGCTAGCAATCTTTGCAGCAATCAAGTTCTTCAAGCATATCCTTGAAGCTCACCATTTTGTCATCCAAACCGACCATAAGCCTCTCGTGTATGCTTTTCGGCAAAACCCAGAAAAAGCATCTCCACGCCAACTAAGACAACTCGATTTCATCTCACAATTCTCTACCGAGATATTACACATCAACGGAAAAGAAAATGTCGTAGCAGACGCACTTTCACGACTCAACGCCATATCTGTACCATCGGTTGTCGACGCCCAAGAACTCAAAGAGGCTCAGCAAAACGACGAAGAGCTGGAAGAAATATTAAGAGGAAATACGTCATTAAGACTCAAGAAAATCAAGCACGAGTCAGGAGAAGAGATATATTGCGACACTTCTACAAATATCATTCGTCCGTACATTCCAAAGAATCTTCGACACAAAATCTTCGAGACGATTCACAATCTATCACACCCAAGCGGAAGAACGACGAGCAAACTCTTACGGCAAAAATACGTCTGGCCAAGTATCAAAACAGACAGCCTCATATGGGTTCGAAACTGTGTGGCTTGCCAACGGAGTAAAATTCAAAGACACAATAAACCACCGTTACAGCAATTCGACCCACCAGCTCATCGATTTCAACACGTTCATCTAGACTTAGTGGTGTTACCACAAGTAAACAACTTCCGATATTGTTTGACGATCATCGATAGATACACCCGCTGGCCAGAGGCAGTTCCGTTACAGGACATGTCAGCTGAGACTGTCTGTAAGGCATTTTACGACGTCTGGGTTTCTCGTTTTGGAACACCTAAAACAATCACAACAGATCAAGGCTCTCAATTCGAGTCAGCTTTATTCAATGCCCTCGCAAAACTACTAGGAGCTAAACGGATCCGGACAACTCCTTACCACCCCCAATCGAATGGAATGATTGAAAAATGGCATCGATCTTTTAAAGCGGCATTAATGTGCCACTCAAACACATCTTGGACAAAGCTCCTATCTACAGTTCTTCTGGGACTACGCACAGCTATCAAAGAAGACATAGAGTCCTCTCCAGCAGAACTTCTTTATGGCACAACACTCAGCGTTCCAGGCGAATTTTTCATCGATGAAGAAACCGCCAAAGACCCACAGATTTTTCTAGAGAACCATAGAGAATTCATGCGGCTTCTACGACCAACAGCAGCCGCACACCATTCACGTAAGTCCATGTTCATACTAAAAGGCATGGAGTCATGCCCCTATGTATTCCTACGCGCTGACCACGTCAAAGCGCCGTTAGAACCTCCATATTCAGGCCCTCACAGAGTTCTCGAGAGAATCAGCGACAGATTATTCAAAATCAAAGTAGGAAATCAAGAGAGAGTTGTATCCACTGAACGGCTAAAACCAGCATTTATTACCAGCACCGAGGAAACAGACGACACCGACACGGCATTACAGAAGAAAACCGTGCGAACTTATCCAGCAAAAACGGTGAAATTCAAAGTTCAACAAACGCCTCATTTTCATCGTGACAAAGTCGCTGGGGAAGGAGTGACTGTGGCGG